GGATCTTAAAATTAGAACATCCTAAAACTGAGATTATAACATTAAAGTTCAGTTATGAAAAGTACTCTTCATCTCCTTTTGGAACGATAATTTTTGGATTAGTTAAAAAGCTGACAAATGAAACGCAGATGATGAAAATCGTTTTCATTTCCAATCAAGTTAGAAATACTTGAAGTCATTGTGAAGGGGTTTAACGATCCCTTGCGCGAACTCAATCTTCCTACGTCTATAATGGAGGTGGTTTAAAGTGGCAATACAGATCATTCTGGTCGTGGATGGGATCATGTTCAATGGGTATTCATTTCAAGTGGAGCATTTGCAATTGTTTTAGTACAAGGACAATTCTAATTCAACGTCGTCTGCTTTTACAAACAGTTCAATGGATACAAGTACCGAAAAGGTGTAAATAATCATCAAAAAGGCAAATATGTATCAAATGTTTGTTTTTGCAAACAGTTTAATAATTACATGTATCAAAAAAGTTGTAAATATATTTACAACTTTTTTGATACATTTAACTATTAAACTGTTTGTAAAGACAAACATTTGATACAATTTTGATACTTATAAGTATCAAAATTGTAAAAATAAGTATCCAAAAGGTAAATAAGCCTCAAAAGGGCAAACAAGTATCACAAGGTCATATAAGTATCAAAAAAGCAAAAATAAGTATTAAAAACAACAAAAATATTCCATTTCTGAACGGAATGTTTCAAATAAACAGAATTCAAGGACATTATGTAAATTCAGAACCTATTCAAAAGTACATTATTACCAGTGACGCGTAACAAAAAAAAATATTGAAACAAATGGTAGCAGATGGAAAAAGTTATATATGCTTCCAGTGAGATTGTTTCTTTTTTTTTTGCGAAAAATATCCTTTTCAAATGTAACATATATGAGGGCGGTTGATATTACGATTCTTAAAAGATTTTGACATAAGAAAAAGATTATACCCAAATGTTGGTAGCATTTTAGTCTCGTACACGTTTCCGTATTCAGACGAAGGGTTTACGTCTTCAATGCATCTCGTCACTCAATGGAGAGCGGGCCCTACTTTCGTAGATTTATTCGAAACTTGGGAAAGAATAGGAAGGGATTACTATTTACCGTATAAATTTGCATCGGATTCAACTTTCATGTTCTAGGCGCAGAAAGTGTCTAAAATCATCCATCTTCGTTTATGGATTTACACCTTTAGTGATGCAATTGAAGATATTTTTGAGCATTTTATTTATGAAATTAAAAAAAAATAAATAAAAAATTAAAAATAGATTCTACAAAAAAAATTCCCCAGATAAATATAATATATCTTTTAAATTTAAAATTCTTGTATCTGCAACTAAAATAAACTTTGCAGTATTCCTGAATAAAAAAAATTCTAATTAATGTACTTTTAGAGATTCACTGAAATTTTTTATTACCTTCAAAACAATATTTAATTACTTCCAATGAAATATTTCTGATTAATCAAACGAAAATTTTGCTCGTAAAGGCAAACATAATATATTATTTCAACAAAACTTTTTTAATTAAAAACCATTAATTACTCAATATATCGAAATGATTCATTTGACAGAAAAAAAATATTAAAAACAAAAATGTTGAAAAAGTTTAATTAAATCCTTTTTTCCAAAATACTTTTCGAAATATAAAAAAAAATTTTCTTCTCTATGTATATTTCTTTTTTTTTTTGAAAATAAATATTGAAATTTAAACAATGTGTACCTACTGTGATTTTTCCAATCCAAAAAATTCTAAACCATGCGTTAATAATTAATACACACTGTTCAAAGAAAAGTTCGACGTAGGGGAGTTGAAGTTATTTCTCCGTAATAAATTTAACAAAAGAAACTGAATCTGATAGGTCCTAATATCTTTTTTTTTGGACTTATAAATTGGGAGAAAAAAAAACTTGTTGATCCAAGTTATTTTTCGTTCGTGTATTTATTTCTTTAAAAGAAATGCATTTGATTGAGACAAATGATCGCTATGAATTAATAACTGACTGAAACATACAAACATGTTTTATTTCGCCATATCAAAAAGTTATCAATAATACAACGGAACTTTTGTAAATCATTATTTACTGGAAGGGAATATTTTCTATTTTATTTTTTCTTTTCAAATTATATAATTATTTTTAATACGAAAAAAAACTACATATTTAGATGGAAAAGTCTTAGCGGTATTGACTAGTAGGTGGGCAGTTTTCCTAATCACTTTCTAGATTGACGGTTCTAGTTGATACATATTTACTACCTACTCTCTAAATTTGAATTAGTAAAAATGTTTACTAATTTGAATTAGTGACTGACTTTTTGCTTTTGAATTAATAAAGTTTACTAATAAATTAGTAGAAATAACTATTTAATAGTAAAATTTACTAATTCAAAAGCAAAAAGTCAGTCACTAATTCGAATTAGTAAACATTTTTACTAATTCAAATTTAGAGAGTACACATTATCTACATACAAATCTTATGGGGGTTCATTAAAAAAATTCGTAACGCTTTTTCTTAAAAATTTTACCCCCCCCCCTTTTTTTGTAACAATAAGTTTGACAAAGTGTCTAATATTATCGTTCAATAAAATTCCCGGCTTTATCCTAATTTTTCCCGGTTTTTTTTTCTCATTAAATTTAGTTGATTTCAAACATTAATAAATCTACAAATGGCTTACAAAATTTTTATTAGAGTTTTTATGAATAATTAAATTCTTTTGACGAATTTCTTAAAATTTTTTTAAAATAATGTTTTTTTAACAATTTTAATTAAAAATTTGGAATACAATTGAATTAAACCAAAAATGTTTTCAATTTTTTAAAATAATATTGTCTGTTTATAATTATAATTGAAAATTTTGATAAATTCAATTTTATTAAAATGTATTGATACTAATTGAATTTCTGCAAAGAATTTTACTATTTATATTTATAAAAGTAATTGAATTCTTCAAAAGAATGTTATTATTTAGAAAAATAATTAAATGTTTGCGTAGAATTTTATTAAAATTTTTGAAAATAATTGAATTAAGGAGAACATTTTAATTATTTATAAAGATAATTGAAATTTTGAGAATTTAAAAAACTTTTTTAAACATAATTGAATTTTTGCGAAGAATTTTATGTAAATTAATGAAAATAATTGAATGCTTGTGAAGAATTTTTTTAAAAATAATATTCAAAAGAATTTAGTAAAGCTGAAGAATTTTTCTATTTATGGAAATAATTGAATTTTTGAGAAGAATTTTTTTTACAGTTTCTAGAAATAATTGAATTCTTTCGACGAATTTTAACCCGTTGCCTGTTTCCGACCCACGGGTGGGTCGTGAAAAAGTATGGCCATAACTGTTTCCGACCCACCCGTGGGTCGTGTTCACTATCACTCAAAATAAATATAATTTGTATATAAATTGATAGATATTTTTCTTTATATCAATATCATAAGAAATTATAAGGGTTATTAATGATATTTTTGAAAATAATTGAATAATTAGTTATAATTTAGATATATATTATACTATTTGAAAAAGTATCAGATTCCGCTGGGCATTTTGGGACAATCATGTTGTATTTTCCTCAAACAGTTAAGGGGTTAATAAAATTTTTAAGAATAATTATATTTTTTTGAGAAATTCGATTAAAATTGTATTAAAAATAATTGAAATTCTGCAATAAGTTTTACTATTTATGAAAATAATTGAATATATTGCGAAGAAATTTTTAAAAATTAAATTATAATTACGGTGACTAACTTCCCTTGATTATTTTCGAAAAATTTAAATAAAATTCTTTAAAAGAATTTAATTATTTTTAATAGAATGTAAAGAAATTTTAACTATTTAAAAAATGTTCAATTATTTGTTTATAAAAATTCAATTATCTTGAAACAATAGAATTGAAGAATTTCAAAAATCTTATTTTTCAGAATTTTTAAAAAAACTTTGCGAAAATTCAATTTTATTAAAAAATTTTGGTAATGAAAGCTTTTCCAAAAAGAATTAACAAATTATTATTAAATTTGGGAAAAGTCCTTCTTTTGCATAATTTCCAAATGTGACTCTTTATAAAATTCAATTATCTATCAATTATTAAATTAAAATACTTTGAAAATTCGATTTGTTAAAAAGTTTTTAATGAAATTATTTAACAAATTTAATTATTTTCAGTTGTATTTCACAAAATTTATATTAATTCGATAATTTTTTTTTAATTTATTTACATACTATATTTGAATCAATGACTGATTTTTTACTATCAAATTAATTATTTTTAACAAATTAAAATTTAGAGATCAGTATAAATATCTATAAAAATTGAAATAAAAAGACATTTTTTAAAAACAAATTAAAATAATAAAACTTTTTTTAATTTAGTGAAAAAATTCCCGGTTTGGCATAAAATTCCTGGCTTATTCCCGGTCAAATAATTTTTTTTTTTAAATGGATTTTAAGTTAAAAATGTTACACGCTTCATTTGAAGGCAAAAAAACTTCACGAAGACCACGCGAATTTTCAAAAAAATGTATAAATAAATTTATTTAGTCGATTTAGTGATACAGAAGAAGAAAAAAAATTGTTAAGAATTTTGAAATTTACCTATTTTTTTAAGAAACGGGTCAAAACGGTAAATTTTACTATTTTTCATAAACTTAAAAGCCGAAAAACTTCATATAAAGACCACGTTAATCGAAAAAAAATTATTAATGAATTATTTATTTAGTGATGCGGACCGAGATGCGGACTAGAAAAAAAAAATTGTTTCGGAAACGCCTACCATTTTCATATTTTTCCAATTTTCCACAAATTTGCTTGTGGCAAACCTCGTGAGATTTTAGTGTAAATCATGAAAAAACGAAATTCGTAATAAAAGTCACAAGAGTTGAAAAAAGATATAATAGGAAAAAAAAATTGAAATTTAATATGGGTTTAAAAAGAAAGCGACCACTGATAATAATAAAGAACAGCAATTATCAAGGATATACTATAAAACGGACTTACCAAGGTTGAAAACTGTTTGTTGTACTTGATGATCAATAGTCCGATTTTCACTAGAAGTATTTTATTTTATAATTATTAGAAAACAATTCACTCAATTGTTGAGGGCTCGGAAGAATTTCTCTTTCTTAAATTTTCCACCACGTGGCTTTGTCGTCTGCTAACAAGCGGCTTCGGTCTCTTGTCCCATGCGCATTAGTTCCGCGGGAATTACGAATCCTACCACAGCCACGAACCTACGAATATTGAGAAGGGAGAATTATTGTCAGAAATTAGCGCCATAATTTAAAATGTTTTCTATAGTAAACTATGTCAAAATGAATAGTTAATGCTTAAAATATTTTTATTGTTAAAAAAATATTATTATTATTAAAAAATATTTTAATTTATTACTCGGTCGTCTAAGTTAAAGATATTTTTTTTAAATAGTCTTAGTTAAAATAACTTTAGGAAGTTATTAATTATTCCTAATTGTTATTATTCTTTACCAACGTAATAATTAATAATTTTACATAATTACAATGATTTTAAATCAATCGTTTACTAAAATAATCAAATTACTGAATTGAATTATAATTACATTAGTGAATTATTTATTAATAATTATCAAGTTAGTAATAAATATTGTTAAGATAATAATTAGTTATTAATTATTATTGTAATGTAATAATTTATTAATTAATTTTTGTTATTAATTACTAATCTAAGAATAAATACTAATTAATTAATTAATTAATAATTCATGTAAATTAATACATTAATACTTTAGCGTTACATTTCGATCTAGACGCTAGATAGGTAAACTTTCTAGCTTCTAGAAATTCTATACTATAATTGTAAAGCGTCATTACAATTCCGCCTCCCCCCCCTCTAAAAAAAGTATAATTTAAATAATAATTGTTTGTCAAATTTTTACCTGAAATACTGCCTAATAGGGTCACAAGACGATGCCACTGAATTAAATCCTGTTTTAGCCGAATTTTGCCCAAAAATAATGCCCAAATAAGTTCAAAAAAGGGCCAAACAATTAAGCCCAAGTAAGATTAAAAAGGGTCCAATGAATTAAGCCCTATTTCAACCCGATTTTCCCTAAAAATAAGACCCAAATCAGGTCGGCTCGAGCCCAAGTTGAAACATTTAAAAATTTTCTACTTCGAATCAGACGATCCAGTAGAAAGTGTAAGTGAATAGTCAGACAATGCAGTAGTCGAACACATTCAAATACCTCGCCACAAATATTATTACCAACCAATTGAAAAATTTAATATTCCACCTGCACAAAAAAAATGAATAATTGCGAATAGAAGAAAATTTATTAAAGTCCTTATAAAAAAAAAAAAAAAAAAAAAAATTAGAAAAAAAATTAGAAGAAAAAAAGAAAAAGAAGAATATATAGCGCGCTCTCTTTTATTGACGAAAGTCATTGCTGATAATAATTGCTTTTGGTATGAAATTTCCCGAGTGGTTGTCGATTAAATTTTCGATATATTGATTCTCTCTCTACTGGTTTCCCTCCCCCCCTTCTATCAGTATAGAGGCAGGAGCAGCAGTACCAGCAGCAGCAGCAGCATAACGAGATGAATCAGACTTTAGGTTCCTGTTGGATGAAAAGATCGTTAATACGAATCCTGACCTGGCACGCCCCGTGGATGAGAACCCATTGTATTTGATCCCTTGAGAGAATGAGGGAGAAACTTCAAATGGGAATGAGATTTTAAGCAGGCATTTTGCCATTAGTAAACAACGATGGAAAATGAATGATTGAGAGAAAAATAATTAAATAAAAATTTCTTTACAATATAAATCTCGCTCTAGTTCCTGTTTTTCTTCTTTATTTTTTCTTTAGTTCTAAAAAAAAGTTGTCTCGAAAGTTTTAATTAACTGAATATGCTAATTAGTTGCATTGTGGAATTTTTTTTTTATTAAAACTATTTTTAATTTTTAAAATTGAATATGGTAAATACCAGAATGGTAAATTTTACCAAACTATTTTTTATTTCATCTTTTTCGCCATCTGTGTTTGAAAAATTTTACCAAACTATTTTTTTTCGCCACCTATGTCTTGTAACTTTTACCAAATAATTTTTTTTCGCCACCTATGTCTAGAAATTTTTACTAAACTATTTTCTTTCACCAACTATGTCTGGCAGATTTTACAAAACTATTTTTTTAGCCACCTATGTGTTGTAAATTTCATCAAACTATTTTTTTTATCTTTTTCGCCACCTATATCTGGTAACTTTTACCAAACTATTTTTTTCCCCATCTATGTCTGACAGATTTTACCAAACTATAGTTTTTCGCCACCTACGTCTTTTCAATTTCACCAAACTATTTTTTATTTCATCTTTCTCGCTACCTGTGTTTTGAAAATTTTACCAAACTATTTTTTTTCGCCACCTGTGTCTGACAGATTTTACAAAACTATTTTTTTAGCCACCTATGTGTTTTGTAAATATCACTAAACTATTTTTTAAAATCATTTTTGCCACCTATATCTGCTAAATATTACTAAAATCAGGCTTCGCACTCAACAATTAATTTTAAAAAAGTATCAAAAAGTAGCTTTAAGACTGAAAAAAGTAGTTTAAAAAGTAGCTACCGAAAAATGAAATTTGACAACTAAAAAACTCGTTTTAGTCGATATTCATAAAAATTTCAAAAATTTGATTCTGTATTTCCCTGTGACATTTTCCTCATATCCATAAAAAAAATCCACTTTTTTCTCATCTTGGTAATAACTTAAATTTTAAATTTTTATGAAATACAATTATTTTCCATACTTTCAGTTAGAATTGTTCAAAAATTCGATTATATTTCAAAATAGTTTTTAAAACTAAAAAGATTAATTTTAAAATATGAAATTTATTTTAATTAAGTTTCACAAAATTTCCAAGTAATTGAAAATTTAAATAAATACTTTTAATTTTTGCGAGAACTTAACTATATTATTCATTTAATATTCAATTATAATCTAAAATTTTAAATGAAATTAATTTTTAAATAAATTTTCATTAGAAAGTTTTACAAGAATTCAATTATTTAAATACAAAAATAAAATAATTGATTGAATTATTGATTATTTCTTAAAATTAAATACTTATAAGGAATTTTATCAAAATTTTGGAAAATAATTGATTTCATTCGAAGAATTTCAATAAAACTTTTGAAAATAATTATTACATTCTTTTCAAAATTCATTCAAAATTTTATTAAAAATGATTGAATTTTGAGAAGAATTTTATTAATTTTTTCTTAAATAATTGAATTCTTTTGAAAATTTTTTTTAAAATAGTAGATATTAAAAATATTTGAATTTCAAACGAAGAATTTCATTATTTGCAAAAATAATTGAATTATTGCCAAAGATTTTCTAAAACCTATTGAAAATAATTGATTTGTTTTGAAGAATTTAAAAAAAGTTTTGAAAATTATAACATTTTTTGAGGAATTCATTTAAAATTTTATAATAAATTATTGAAATCCTCTGATGAATTTTATTATTTACAAAAATAATTAAATTCTTCCAACGGATTTTATTGTATTTTTAAAAATAATTGAATTCCTGTGAAAATTTTTATTATTTTTAAAAATAATTGAATTTTTGCGAAGGATTAAAAAAAAAATTGTAAATAATTGAATTTTTTTGAACGGTTTTATGAAAATTTTAAAGAATAATTCAATTATTTCGAATAATCAAATTAAAATTATGTAAAAAATAATTGAATTCTTGCAATGAATTTTATTTATTTATATGAAAATAGTTTATTTATTATAAACAAATTTATCAAAATTTTAGAAAATAATAAATATCTTTCAAAGAATTTTCCTCGAAAATTGTATTTCAAATAATTGAATTCTTCTCAAAAATTTTATTATTCATGATATCAATTCAATTTTTGAGAAGAATTTTATTCAATTTTCTTTTAAATAATTGAATTTTCGAAAATAATTGAATTGTTTCAAAGAATTTTCTAAAAAAAATTTAATTTGTCTCTAAGAAGAATTTTATTAAAATTGTTAAAAATAATTTTAATTCAACTATGAGCGGATTTGAAATAGTGCAAATTTAAAAGAGGAAAAAAGTATTTTTTACTTGCACAAATTTAAATATAGTATCCAAATAGTAGCTAATCGTAAAAAAAAGTAGTAAATAGTAGGTTTTAGTATTAGAGGAGTGCGAAGCCTGTAAACTATTTTTTTCATAGAAAAGTCAGGGAAAAGGAAAATTAATTTTTTGTGGCAACCCTGAATAATCACTCGATTATGTTGTAAATGTGAAAGCTACTAAGGTATATATTTATAAATAAGAAGAGGAAGAGAGAGAGAGGGAGAAAGTGGGAGGGGAGGTAACTAAATAAAGCTAAAAAGGGGACATGCAACTATGCTTTATACCAGTCATGTGAGTTGGTTCTTCATAAAGTAGCTCGAGGAAAATGATAATGTGGAAAACAATGTCACATCCCTAGCATTGTTTTGTGGGTAGACGCGCGTCAGTTCGTTGCTTTAAAGTTTACCGACACTCTCCCTTACGTGTATAATTGCACCACACACCATATACTGTAAAACGCTGTCATGACAGTAGTGTATTTCTTGGAAAACAAAAAAAAAAATTCTTGTGCGTGTTACACGCAAGATAATACGCGCGCACGCATTCTATGAAAGCTTTCACATCGACTCTTCCTCCTTCTCTCACTCTCTCTCTCTCTCTCGTTTTTCTTGATTATTATCATTATAATATTGTACACTCGACAAGTGTGTGTGTGTGTATTTATAAACCGATATCTCGAACCGTGACACATTCACGATATTTACCCGCAGCCGGAAAATATTTTGTGCCCAGAATTATTAATATCGAGATGGAGAAGCCATATCACGATGATTAATGAATTAATAAAATGGGTGCTGTGTGCTATCAACATCGTTGAAATGTGTAATCGATATACGCAACTCCAGTGAGAAGTTATTCGCTTTCACGCTGAAAATAAACAATTTGCGTCGTCCCCTTTTATCAGTATAATGCAGAGAGTCTGTTTTCTTCAAAAATCGATCTTTCGAGGATTACACGCAAGGAATATTGTTCGCAGTTAATTATAGAAAAATGGGAAAAATTTGTCTAGTCTACATCTAGGTGGCGAAACAGATAAAAATAAATAATTTGGTAAAATTTAACCAGACATAGGTGGCGAATTAAAATAGTTTGGTAAAATCTGTCAGAAAGGTGGCGAAAAAAAAA